TCTCTCTCTCTCTCTCTCTCTCTCTAAAATACTCTTCAAACCTAATCCTCAAAATGGTTTTCAACCTCAGTCCTCAGTTCTACCTCCTCTTCAGCGGAGCGCAACGCGCCGCCGCACATTCACCCTTCCTGGTAGTGCTGTAAACGAACCGAACCGAACGAGCTTGGGTTGTTTGAGCTCGTGTTCGTTTACGTTCGAACAGTGTTCGTGTTCGTTTATTTTTCGAGCAAAAAATCATGTTCGAGTTCTTTCGTTTAATTAATGTTCGTCAAAGTTTGAGTTCGTTCATGTTCGAATAATTTAATACATAAACTTTTTAAATATGTTTAATTAACTCAAAATTTGTTCGTTCGAACTCGATCGAACTGAAAAAGAAAAGAATAAAATAAAAATATTTATATATTTTAGATTTTTTATTAAAAATATTATGTAAATATATAAAAAAATAAAATTATATTAAATTTTACATTTTTTATTAAAAATATTATATAAATATATTAAAACAAAATAAAATATAAATATTTTAAAGATTTTTTATTAAAAATATTATGTAAATTTTATATAAAAAATAAAATTATATTAAATTTTACATTTTTTATTAAAAATATTATATGAATATATTAAAATAAAATAAAATTATATTAAATTAATGTTCGAGAACATAATCGAACATTTACGAACGATCTCGTGTTCGTTCGATTATTAAATGAGCCTAATTTTTTGTTCGAGCTCGGCTCGATTAAGAAACGAACGAGCTTTTGTCGAACACAAACGAGCTCGAATGAGCTTTTGTTCGCGAACGGTCGGTTCGTTTTCAGCTCTACTTTCTGGTCTGCCGACGTTTCGAGGACCTCCCAGCCGTTGGGTTTTCGCCGATTGTCTCTTGGTTGCCGCTCGAAATGTGGAGGCGCCGACGAGGTGAAGGTGGGCAGGGCGGGGTTTTCTCCGGCTGGGCAGTTGCCAATGGTCGGTGTCAAGTTTAGTCCCTCTCTCTTCCCTAGTGTTGGGGGGTGGACTCATGTGGGTGGTGGATGTTTCAGCTCCGGTGGCCGTTGGCTAGTTTCGCTGGTGGTTGTCAAAGGGTTTCAGGTTTGAAGCTATTGGTTCTGCCCCCTGGTTCTCCGTCGTTACTGGTTCTACCCATTGGCTCTCCGACGGTCAAAAAGATCCAACGACCCAGATATTCGGGCCGCCAACGACTACTAGCGGGTCCGGGATAGACCCAAGAATTATTTAAAAAAATGAAAAAATTGTGTGTCATCTCAAGGGCCGAGTATGGGTAAAAAATTTATAGATACACAGCCCGGAACTGGCACGGTCAGACTACGGGCTCGATTCTTGTTCCATTGACTACGGGCCGATTGAAGGCTGGTTCGGACCGAACCGGAGGGCTGAGCCAGCCTGTGGCCATGTTTAATTGGAAGTGATGAATAGTTCAAATTATGTGAGTGGGTGAATAATGAATTAAAGTTGATTTGATATGTAACGACGATTGATTGATATTATTTAATTATATTGATAATATTGATAATGGTGAAGTTGAGTTAAAGCAAATGATTGGTGAAAGGTGATTAGAAATTGTTTGAGTATTTTTTTTATATCCAAGCACACCCTAAGGAGTTTGAAAAAAAAAAATGTAACAATGAGTTTCCTATAAAAGTAATAAAATGGTCTTGTAAACACGTCGAACCAAGATCGAGCTCTTAACAAGTTGAGAAGCGAGCTCGAGCTCGACTCATTTATCAATACTAACGAGTCGAGTTCGATCTTTAACAAGACAAATTCGACCTTTAATAGGCCGAATAATAAAATTTTTCTTTTTTTTTTAGCCTGATCGAGCCGACTAAACGAGTTCGAGGTCGAGCTCGGCTCGTTTGATAACTAAGCTCTAACCTTAACGAGTTCAGTCGAGCTCACGAATGACTCATTTCGTTACTTAGTCTTTTGCAACTTAGAAGAAATATTATATTGCTGATTTTAACCTTCCAAATATATGGTTTTAGCTGTATAAATTTTTAAGTTGATAAAATTTATCTCTTAAAGTAAACGAAGTGATAATTTGTCTCCTGCATTCTAAAAACTCTAACATGTTACATTTTTTTTTTTTT